GGTGCCCAGGGAGGCCAGAAGAGGGATGGATCACCTGGGACTGGAGTTAGAGATTATGGGTCTCCGTGTGGTGCCGGGAATCAAACCCGGGTCTTCTGCAAGAACAAAAGTGCTCTCTTCCATGAGCCATCTCTCGGTCCCTGTAAGGCATAGCACTGATAGACTCGCTTGTCGTGCTAGACAGTAATATAGGCATCGATCACGTTAGAGCTCAGAGAAATGACACGTACTTCACTGCGTCGTGCTTGAGAATGCTGACTAGGGGCTGGAGAGATGGCTCGGAGCTTAAGAGCATTGGCTGTTCTTCCTGAAGTCCTGAGTTCAATTCCCAGCAACCACACCGATGGTAGCTCACAACCATCTACAATGAGATCTGGCGCCCTCTTCTGGAGTGCAGGTACTCATGTGGGCAGAATAACAACACATAAATATACACAAACAAACAAAATAACAAACAAATAAATCTTCAGGGTCCAGACTGAGCCCAGAGCAGCTTTTGCCCCAGTCTGTCACCTAATTCTCTAGCGGCTGCTCCCTGGAAGATTTTTATTTGTACAACAGGGTAATTTTTGTCTGCCACAGATTTTCTCCCTGCAGCCTTCCAAAACCTGTCAGCACCTCCAAGCTCCCTCCCAGTCCTCAGCCCCTGTTCGGATCCAGATGACAACCACCTGGCCTGAGTCTCCCATGAGGCCTGCAGACGGGTTTTTACAGTTTTCCCGTTGTTTGTCTATCGGCAGCCTAGCCCAGCATCCTAGCTCATTTTATGTCAGCTTGACACAAGCGAGAGTCTCGTCACAGAGGAGGGAACCTCAGTGAGAAAATGCCTCCATAAGATCAGACAGGAGACAGGCTTTTTCCTAACCACTGAGCCATCGCTCTAGCCCTGCTGGGCATTTTCTTAAGCAGTGATTGATGGGAGAGCCCATTGCGGGGAGTGCCACACCTGGGCTGGTTGATAAGCAATCAGGCTGAGTGAGCCAAGATGAACCAGTTAGTAAACAAGCTCCTCCTGATGCAGGAGCTTCTTTCTGCATCAGCTCCTGCCTCCAGGTTCCTGCCCTGCCTGAGTCCCTGCTCTCACTGCTTTTGACAATTAACTGCTAAATAGAACTGTGAGCAAAATAAACCCCTTCCTCCCCAAGATGCTTTTGGTCATGGGGTTTCATCACAGCAAGAAAGACAGTGAAAACTACAGGTGCCAATTATTTGGTTAGGAAATTGTAGACTTGGTGTTTTGGGCAGAAAGCTTAGAAGCTAGCTTCTGCTCATGAGGTAAGGTTGGACAAGCAGGGTATATTCTGTAGTTCAGTATTCTTACCTATAACATGAGATAACAGTGCCTACATTATCCATGACCTAGAGTTCTGAGAGCAAAATGTAGCGACAAAAGCTTCTATAACATCTGTACGTGGGTAAGAAAATGGAGGTGTCATTTTTGACCATTGCCCTCCTAGGCCACTCCTGGGGCAACACTGCCTGTGCTCAGATTACAGCCTGGCTGCTCACTAGCCAGCTGTGTCACCCTGGAGAAGCCACTCTTGTGCCTCAGTTCCTCATCTGTACAAATGAGGCCATGGAAATGCCAGCCTCGGAGGGTGGTAGTTGATCATGCTTAGTACAGAGCGGCCCCAGAGTAACCCGGCCCCTTCCTGGAGCTCCAGAGTAACTCGGCCCCTTCCTGGGGGTCCCAGTTTCATTAACAAAAGGATTTAAGAACAGACTCACAGGGGAACTTAAGGACACCATTAGTTATTAGAGTTCAGACTAATAACCCCAAGGAAGCAAGCTGCAAACCCTGGCAGCTGCCTGGAAAAGAATAGAGAAGAGAAAGAGAAGAAGCCATGCCAAGATGACATAAGACTGGAGGTGAGCCACGTGGCAGACAGGGGAGCTCTAGAGAAAGGGTAAAGAAACCCAGCGCCCTGGAAAGAGCCCACTCAGGCCCTGGCCAGCATCCAGAACGAAGGCAGAGAGAAGAAAAGGGCCAAGGTTGTGCCTTTCTGAGTCGGGAATGGCAAAGCAGGCAGATCCCACAGAGCCTGTGACGGTTGGGGACAGCAGCAGCTGAGAGGATTCAGGACAGGGCAAGTACAGCATCTCATTGGAGGGGTAATTAGTCCTCTTCAGCATAGCTCAGGATGGACCTGCCTTCCCCAGGGTTGGTCCCTTGGCCTGGCCGAATGATTGATCTGCCCAGCCAGATTAACTTTTGTTTGTTTGACATAGGGTCTCACTATGCAGACCAGGCTACATAGTTTGGAACTCAAGCGATCCGATTGCCTCGGCCTCATGAGTGCTGGAATTAAAGGCCTTTGACGTCACACCTGACTCTGGATTAGCTCTTTTCTTCTTGAGAGTTGTCTTATTCCTGTGTCTGTGTGTGCATATGCCCATGGAGGCCGAAAGTGGGTAGCAGGTCTCCTGGAGTTAGAGTTCCAGGCAGTTGTGAATAAGCCGGGGGGAGTGATGTAAGCCTTTAATCTCAGCTCTAGGGAGGCAGAGGCAAGGAAGATCTCTGCATTCAAGGCCAGAGCAGAGGAACCCTTTCTAGAAAAAAAAAAAAAAAAAAAAAAAAAAGAGAGCAGGGTAGTGCTCGGGAGATGGTTCAGTGGTTAGGAGCTCTTCCAGAGGACCCAGGTGCAAGAAGAAGGAGAAGGAGGAGGAGGAAGATGATGATGGAAGACAATGGCAGATTCTGTTCTTTCCTGCAACAATAGGAAAATGCTCAGTACATTTTATCTCATGTAGCCTGGGCTGGCCTTAAACACTACATAGCCAAGATGACCTTGAGCGGCTGAGCTCCACCTCCCAGTGCTGAGAGGCCTGTGCTCACAGGCCTGTGCTACCATTCTTTCTTGTATTTTTACGTAGCGTTGGACATAAAACCTGAGGCTTCATGAGTAAATGCTAGGCAAGAACTCTACCAATGAGCCACATTCTTGGGCCTCTGTGGGCCATTTAAGAGGTACACACACACACACACACACACACACACACACACACACACTCCAGTGGCTGTTGGATTAGCAAGGTTCTCAAGAGCATGGTGTTGGATGTTTTTTTTTTTTTTTTCCTCACACCAAGGTTTTTACTGTTTTACTGGACATTGGTTTTTCCTTGCCTTAAACATTGAAAAATACCTCCTTGTACCTACTCTACACCCGTCTTTCCAGCCTGGCTTTTAGCAGAGCGATAAAATGAACTTACAGATGCCTCAGAGACAGTTGCAACAAGGCACAGCTAGACTAGAGGTCCGGGGGCTTAGGAGAGCCGTGTAGTAGCCCAAGCCAGCTGCCTGCATCTGGGGTGCTGAGGTTGTCCAGCTGGTCTGGCTTCTTCGTTGCAGCTAAGTTCTACAGACAGTCACAATGAGTTTTTCAAACACAAACCATGTTTTTTTCTCCCACCTAAAGGCCTGGGATCCCCCACTTGGATTCTCTGTGGATCACATCCTTGAGTTGCCAGCATCTTCAGGTTCTCCTCCTTACTTGCCTTTGGAGGAGTCAGAGTTGGCTCCTGTGAGTGGACAGCCTCAACCTGGCCTTTGCAGAGGGACTCCTTCCTGTCAAACAGACCTCACCTGGGCCAAACCTCCTACAGAGCGTTTCTGGCCATGTTCTGCCACGCAGTGTTCACCACCACAGTATTCATGTGCTATTATTCATCACATCTCTACCTAGAACCGGCCCAGCCCTTCAAGAGCCGTGCCAGGGCCTCTCCTGTCTGTCCTGGCCTTTACCCAGCACCACTTACAAGAGCTTGCTGGGTAGTGGGCTGGTGTCTATTCCTGCAGTCTTACCCACAGGGCAATTCCCACGTGGCAAGTTTGAGATTCTAAACGGAAACAGGAGCCTCACGCGAATGCTTGTATTCTGGACGGCAGCTTTGGCTGTCTCAATGTCGATCAGTGAGCAGTAGTGACTGCTCCCTGGGCAGAGCTGAACACTCACCTGACTGCCTAATAACCTCCGTGTTGACAGAAAAGCCCAGCTGACAGAGGGACAGCAAGAGAGCAGACCAGGTGCCGCACAAAGCTACAGGGCCCAGGCAGCGAGCGATGCACACACCAATTCTAAGTAACACGTTCTGAAGGAAAACGGGTGTCACGTCAGCAGACCTCCTCTGACAACTGCCTTTCCTCCCCAGGTCTACACTGGGCAGCTGCCTTCGAGCATATCTGTAGTTGCTTGTGATGTTTATGCTCTAATTTTCTCAACAAGATTTGAACATAGGGCCCTTCCTATGCTGAGCACAGGACTACCACCAATCCACACCCTCGCCTCGTTACAATTTTTGTGTTCTTTCTTCCTAGTGCAGACTTTTCTGAAAACAATTTCAAATAACTGTCTTACTCCAAGATGATTTTAGATGTCGACAATGTCTGAACTCCGCCCCAGCATAAGGGAAATGCGTTGGCACTTTTGTCTTTCTGCAGCCCTTGGGTCCTGAACTGTGAGCCCCGGAGTCAGTATGTCAGTCACCAACTGTGACCCGAGTCACTGGCTTCTCTGAGCTTGGCACTCGGCTCCACCCCAATTTACACTGTGCTCAGGGCTGTGGCTCTGGGGTTCAGTGCACACACTTGAGGGAGGGTGATAATCCACCTGGTCAGACTGTAAGAAACAGGAAGAGCGATGCTGCAGTGCGTTCACGTATCCAGAATTATGTCTGTTCTCACAGCCTTAGGTCGGTAAGTTTTCCTAGGCAACGGTCGATGCGTGGCATTCAACAGACATCTCCCTAGAAGCAAGGTAAGCACCAAGTTGCAACTAACTGGCTCTTAAGGATGCTAAACTGTATTTAAGTCCTGAAGAAGTGTCTCAGGGATGTAAAAATTATAAAGTCTGGATTTTACAGAGCTGGAAACTTGAATTGAGGACTGCCCGGACTGTCACCCATTTGTTCTACACTCCATTTGAGTCAGCATCATCTTTATTTCAAAATAACATTTTTATTATATAAAAATGTAAAAAATCCAGCAAAACCAGAAATACGGATATATTTTCCTGGGCTTTCACACCTGTTGATTTTTATTCGCATCTCATTTTCAATACAATTTACAACAATGTCCCCGTTTCCAGTCTGATTATACACGTGCTAAGTGACAGAAAGGTCTGGAATAAATACATTAAAAAAGAGGCAAAGCTGTGAAACCAAGCGGCATGCATAGGTCCTTCCTATGAAGGAGGACGAAGTGTGGGGAATGGAGTAAGGTGATGCGGCAGGAGTTTCAGCCGAGCTCCTCAGTCGTCCTTGTCCTTTGCCCCGTGCTTGAGAATGCGTGTGAACTCGATGTAGTTGAAGTTCCCCTTCTTGTCGATGGGGGCCTCCCTGTACAGCTCATCCACTTCCTCATCTGTGAAGCGGTCGCCCATGGTGGTCAGCAGCTCCCTCAGGTAGTCCTCCTGGATGGTGCCTGGGGCCACAAAGGACAGACTCACAGATGCTTCCCGGCACAATTCTAAACCAAACCAGCCTGTTTCCACACTCTCCTCATCCACCGCTCACCACTGCTTCCAACCCCTCTGGGGTTCTTTACTAATACTAAAGGATTTTAAGAGCTTCAAAATGGAAAGATGGCTCAGGATGAGAGCACAGGCTGCTCTTCTGGAGGAGCAGAGGTTCGATCCTCAGCACCCACATAGCGGCTTACAACCATCTGTAACTTCAGTTCCCAGGGAACTGACGCCTGAGGGTACCAGACACACACACATACGCACAGGCAAAAATTCTACACAGAGGAAGGAAATACATATATTTTAAAAACTGTAGTATAGCGGGCTGCAGAGATGGCTCAGCAGTTAAGAACACTGCCTGCTCTTCCAGAGGTCCTGAGTTCCATTCCCAGCACCCACATGGTGGCTCACGACAACCATCTATAATGAGATCTGGTGCCCTCTTCTGGCATGCAGGTGTATATTCAGACAGAGTACTCTATTGAAATATTAGTCAGCTAATTAATTAATTAATACAACAACAAAAACGCAGCATAGGAATATAAAGTCAAATAAAGTAAGAGGAGAACAAAAGGCAGTGTCAGCCAGAGCAGTGGTGCAGGGGGACAGCAGTGTGCCAGGAAGAGTAGGGCGAGGAGGGACACGAGGTGACCGTGAGACCCAGCAGAAGGTTAATACGGAGCAAATGGAGGAGAGACTCAGGAAGGAAGGAATGAGACAACACAGGTGGAACTTGAATGGCTTTTTACGTTAAAGTGTGCATCTCCAAGGGGCAGGAAATGAAGACAAAACAGAGCAAAGCCCCCAGAGACACAGAACAGCTCAAACGTTCACACTGCGAACTGGGCTTCTCAGAGAAACTGAGAGTCCCCGAAAGAACAGTTTTCACTGTCTGCGACTAACGGACGCTAAATACTTATGGTTTTCTTAGGGAGCTTGAAGGTAAATTCAAAGGTGAACAAGACAGGCTGCCACTTTAGGGCCTACACCAGCTCTGTGCAAGGCCGTATCTGGCTGCACTGCCCTATTTAAAACAGCAGGGTAGAGACTGTGAAAACTGTGCCCGCGGCCCCTAAAATGAAGACGGACAGAAACACACAAGAAGCGTTACCTGTTGCTTCCTCGTCAAAGCAAGCGAAGGCATTTCTGATGACATCCTCAGGATCTGTGCCGTTGAGCTTCTCACCAAACATGGTGAGGAACATGGTGAAGTTGATGGGGCCTGGAGCCTCGTTCATCATGGCGTCCAGGTAGGCGTCGGTGGGATTCTTCCCTGTAAGAGTGCACACGGCAACAAAGGCCAAGCCCAGTTCAGTCAGCCATCTGGCTACCGTTACACCGCCAAACACATTTTTACAGGGTTTATTACACTTATTTTGTGCGTGCGCACATCACATGTGTGGAGCTCTACGGACAATTTTCAGGAGTTGGTTCTCTCCTTCCACAGGAGTTCTGGGGTCACAGCCCTCAGGTGGAAGGCAAAAGCAGCTTCCTGTGCTGAGCCAGCTTGAATCCTGCCAGTGTCTCCATCACTTCTCATTAAAAAACCAAAACCCTCAAACTTTGACAGGAAACACACATTCTCTCACACTGAACACTGATTCTATATTGGTTCATTGGGGTTGTTATTTCAATACCAGCTATTAAAAGAAAAATCAACATTAATGTTTCTAATTATGACACAGTTGTCTGGGAACTGGTATGCTTCAAAACTGTTTACAAGCTGATCATCTGGGCTAAAACTATTAGGTCAGTTTGGGACTTGAAGCTTCTTTTGGACAATACTGAAGCACTGTCTGCCAAGTGCAACCGTCCTGCCTCATCCTCCTGCATGCTGACGGATGAGCCACCCTGCCGGACTCCAGTGCCCACAGTCTTGTTTGTAAAGAGAAACCTGGATCTCAGTTCCCACGGAAAGCCAATCTTAAGACCCCAGCCAGAGAACCCCACAGCGAGGGGCAGCATCTACAGAGAAGGGATTTGAAAACCAGGTCATCCCTGGCTGGACAAGGTGGAAGATCTGGAACTCGAACCCAGACCCCAGAACCCAGACCCCACGCTTGGTGCCAGTGGCCCCCATCCAGCTCCTTTATCTTTGGCCTGTGAAAAGGACTGGCTGACCTCAGGCTCTCAAAAGGGCCTTTAGTCACGAGGCTGACAGACGGGAAAAGGATGTGTTGATGGGATCTTCGGATTTAGATCCGGAGCATCACAGAACTATACCAGACTAAAACCTGAGGACAGTCCTCTGCAGGATCTGGGTGAAATTTAAACAGCACAGGAATGGCTACTCTGCCCCAGCACACCTACTCAGCTCACCTGTCCTAACGGAGCCCCTGACCAAGTCCAAGTACGCAAAAAGCCTACTTTCCTGTGCGCGGATCTAAGCCATCTCTGGCAGCATTGTGAGCACTGTAACCCAGAGATTCAAGAATATTCACTGAAGGAAACAAGAATCGAAAATGGATCATGTGTGTGTGTGCACGCATAGGTAGAGCCTATGTACAGAACAGAGAACAACTTCCAGGAGCCGGGCCTCTCCACCCTGGGGCTGACACTGAGGTCACCAGGTCTGGCAGTGTGTGGGTTACCTGCTGAGCCATCTCATCAGCACCCTCGATGGTTTTTAGAAAAAAATTAGCTTACTTTCTTTTTAATTATAGAAAACCTTACTAGGGAAGTCTCTTCCTGGGGTCCATTTTTAAGTAACTGCCCTCCCTTCTCAGACACCACTGTCAGTTATGAGTGTTACCTCTTTGTTCATGGCCTGTTGTCTAACACAGGATGTTACTAGCTGCATTTGTACTGAGACATCTGATCGTTTACACCTAGTCACCAATAACACACACACATACACGCACACACGGCTTTCATACTAACATATACACACAGACACGGCTTTCAGGCTCACAACAACACAGGCACACACAGATGCACACACACACAGCTTTCAGGCTCACACCGACACAGACACACATGGCTTTCAGGCTCACACCAACATAAACACACACAGACACATACACACAGCCTTCAGGCTCACACCGCACATCTACTTAGCTAACAGGAACAGTACTGCCAGGTCCTCACCCTGCAGTTGATTCCCTTCACACCTGGCCTGGATCTAACAAGGCCCCTCCCACACTTGAGAGCCTTTCAAAGGCCATCTGGGAAAAGGACTGAATCATTACAAATGACTCAGAGATGAATCACACCAGGAAAATGCACATAAAAGGCTACCTAGAGAAGCAAGCATGTCGTGCAGGTCCTCCTTGTCGATGAAGCCATCCCTGTTCTGGTCGATCATGTTGAACGCCTCTTTGAACTCTTGGATCTGGGACTGGTCAAACATGGCGAACACGTTGGATGTTGCGCGCTGAGGGCGCTTCTTGGTGGTCTTGGTCTTTGCCTTTTTGCTCGACATGGTGGCGGTTTAAATCTGAAATTAAACAAAGCAACATGTAACACGTAAAGCAAAAGGGTATATACACACACACCTAATACTAATGAATAAAAATATCTTTCTCTTTCTTTTTTAAAACAGGAGGCCTGGAACTCACAAAGATCCATCTGTCTCTGACTCCCAGGTACTGGGAGTAAAGTTGTGTGCCACTGTGCCCAGCTAGAGAAAAAAAATCTCAATAAAGATATTTACTTAAATCAGGTAGGAATAAGTACATCCAAGCTTATTTCAAGGTGACAGTTAAAGTGGATTTTAAAAGTACATGTTAAGAGAATTTATCAGTGTACTTTCCATCACCTTTCACAAGACTAATTTCTTTTTTTTGAGACAAGGTTTCTTCTATGTAGCCCTGTTTGTCCTGGAACTCACTCTGTAGTCGAGGCCTACCTCTGCCTATGAGCACTGGAATTAAAGGTGTGGGCCACCACCACCCAGCAAGACTAGTTTCTTTTAAGAATTAGCTTTTATTTTTAACCATGTGTGTACATGTTTGTCTCTGTGTGGGTGTGTGCACATGAATGCAGGTGCCCACAGAGGCCAGAGAAGGGGCCAGAGCCCCCAGAGCTGCAGTTACAGGCACTACATGCTCCCAATGCAGAAGCTGTATCTGCCCTAACCACTCGGCCATCTCTCCTGCTCCAAGACTACTCTTCATCCACTGGAGTTTATAGAAATCTATATAACAGGGGCTGAGTCCGATGTGTCAAGACCTCTTTGAGGGAACAGCGCTCCTACACATAAACCTCCTACCCTTGCTAGGCTCAGTTTTCCCATTAACCCTCAAAACAGCCAAATATGACAGGTGCTTTTATCGTTCCCACTTCACTGCCAATATGAAACAATCTCCCTGGACCCCAACTGTTCATTACCAAAACACACTACCCATGACACTGAGTGAGTGATGAGAACTAAGTGGATACTGCACACAGAACTAGGCAGCCAAATGTGCTCACATTTGAAATACATCATCTGCTGGGCATGGTGGTGCACATCCTCAGCCTAGCACTTGAGAGATAGAGGCAGGCGATTTCTGTGAGTTCGAAGCCAGCCTGGTCTAAAGAGTGAGTTCTAGCACAGCCAGGACTACAGAGAGAAACCTGGCCTCAAAACAAACAAATATACAAACAAACAAAAAAATATATCATTCAAGCCTAATTTCCTCTTCTAGACATCCAAGCTACCCCTGCATTCCCCCCACTTGACAATTTCCAAACGTCAGTTAATTGTTTCCATTTTATCATCTTCCCAGTCATTTCTAGAGTCTCTGTAAGTAGTTACCTCCCCTCTGACAGCCACCATCAACTTAACTGGTAAACAGAATGATAATTTCCATCTCTATCTTTATTTTATTATTTTTTAGCACCCCCACTTCTTAAAATATAGGGTCTCATCTAGGTCTTGAATTCACTATGTAGCTCAGGATATCTTAAACTCCTGGTCCGCTCACCTCTGTCTGGGATTATAGGCATGATCCATGTCCTGGCTGCATTTTAAACACCATAAATGCATGTATGATCATTTTTCGGCCAATGACAGACAGCATATACCCTGGTATATTCCACACAGTCTTGGTCTGCAGTAAGCTGTTCTTTCTGGGTTTGTGTATGTAAACTCTTTGTTGTTTGCAGACTGATGAGACTATCTAACAGTTTGATTCTCAGAATCTATCCCAATTACTATACTAGACAGTGCACACTGCAAATAGAACACAGTATTATCAGCTTTGAAGTTAGAAATCAAGTTCAAATAAGTCACAAACAACTAGCTATACATAACTTTGAAATCTTACAAATACCAGGCCTGTTTTCAAAAAAATACTTTTGAGCTTTTACCATTTTTATGTGTTTGCCTTCATGTATATCTGTACACGTGTATACAGTGCCCATGGTGACCAGAAGAGGGCACTGGATCCTCCGGGACTGGCATTACAGAGGGATGTGAGTGTCCATATGCTCCTGGGAATTGAACCCAGGTCCTCTGGAAGGTAGACAGTGCTCTTAACCAATACGCCATCTCTCCAGCCCCTCAGGCCAACTTTTAAAAACATTTTATCATTTTTTAAAATTAAATTATGTATATGTATTTTTTGCCTGCATGATGTACTACCTGGAGACCTGAAGGGGGCGCCAGATATCCTAGAACTGGAGTTACATACAGTTGTGAGCTGCCATACAGATGCTGGGAATCAAATTCAGGTTCTCTGGAGGCACAATGAGAGCTCTTAACCACCGAGTCATTTCTCCAGCTCCAAAGATGATGATAATGATGTGGTGGATATATAAAGTGTGCCTGAAAGTGCAGCTGAGTGTGTGGAGGTCAGAGACAACTTTCAGGAACTGGTTCTCTCTTTTCACTGTGGGATCTAGGATCAAACTCGGGTTGTCATGCTTGTGTGGCAAGAGCTTTTAAAACCCACTGGTAACCGTACCTGCCCCACTCTTTGATCTAATGTTTTACCTCATCTCCACAATTGCCCTATGAGACAGGTGTTCCCTAAATTAAAGAATAAATCCATGACCCCGTGTATTAAGTAACTCAAGGCTGTTAAAGAGGTCTGTGCAGCCATTGCCCTTTGCTCCTGCAATCTTCTGCCTGGGGTTTGCTGTCTCAGGTCACATGGTATGGACTTGGCTTCTACCAGGGCTGAGGTCAGACATGTGGAGAGTTGACCATAGGTACGTCATAAAGCCCGATTTCCCTGGCTGGCAATATCTGCACACTGTGACACATACTGCTAGGAGCAGTTGACACTGTCCATGACTTCACCGGGACAGACAACTGAAGCTGGGTGTTAGGAAGCCTCCTGGATACTGCCCTACAGGGAGAACCACAGCTTTCGGTGAGTTCTGAGAGTCCTAGCAAATCATCAAACCTGAGCTCAATCCCGGGAGCACCTACTTCCAACTGGTGTGGTAAGTGAGGACAGTAGGGAAAAGCTCCCCTCTGAGGCCTCACTGTCGGAGGAGGACAACTAGCCGTCAGCCAGGGCTACTATGACAAACACCATGACCAGACGCATCTTAGGGAGGAACGGGTTCATTTGATCCTGCAAGTCTCAGGTCACACGCCATCACCCTGTCACCGAGGGAAGCCAGGGCAGGACCTCAAGGCAGGAAGTGAAACACAGACCAAGGAGGAGTGCTGCTTACTGGCTTGCTCCTTACGGTTTGCTCAGCCTGCTTTCTTACACAATCTAGGCTCACCCATAGTGAGCTGGGCCCTCGCACAGCAATCATTAATCAAAACACTTCACACACTGGACCAATCACAAAGGCCAATCAGATGGAGGCATCTTCTCAGTTAAGATTTCTTCTTTGCAGGTATGGCTGTGATAAGAAGCAATCAGTACTCTAGCCATGCTAGTTGGTACAAAGAGGGACTTCTGGCTTTGGACTTTCTATTCAGATAACGTCTCCTCTCTTCTTCAATCTAAAACACGCTCCAAAGGTGTACTCAGCTTGCCTTGGCACTGTGCCGAGGTGTACTAGCGTCACGGCCCTGACTCTCAACAGGGAGAGTTGCCTTTCCCACATATCTGTCCTGAATAAACGTTAATTTTCTCCTCTTCCCTGTAACTGAGCTTGATATTTGACTATAGTTCTACAGAAAGTCAAATGAAAAACAGAATGGTCTACTATACTAGCTTGATATTAGATTTTTTTTTCCTTCTTTCTTTCCTTCCTCTCTGGATGCTGCTGCTGCTGCTTTGAGGGTCTCACCTTAGGATTATAATTGTACTAAAACACCATGACTATAAAGCAAGCTGGGCGGGGGGGGGGGGGTTGGCCTACATAGTACACTGAGGGAGGCCAGAGCAGGAGCTCAAACAGGACAGGGCCCTGTAGGCAGGAACTGATGCAGAGGCCGTGGACGGATGCTGCTCACTGGCCAGCTCTCATGGCTTGTTCCACTCACTTTTACAAACCCAGGACGGCCAGCCCTGGGACAGCACCACCCACAACGGGTCAGGCCTTCCCCTATCAACCATTAATTAAGAAAATACTCTGCAGACTTTCAGACAGCCCCATCTTACGGAGGCATTCTCAATCAAGGTTCCCTCTTCTCAGATGACCCAAGCTTTTGTCAGGTTTGATGAAAACTACCCAGAATAGGCTTAAATCCAGGTCCTCCAACATGCTATAATAAGCTCTTCCAATACATTACATCCTCAGCTCCAACGGACTATCTTAAGGCTTTACATCCTGAATCTGTTACATCAAAGTCGTTCTCATGTAAAAAGTGCTGATTTTATTTCAAGATTTAATAGTAGTCTAAAGACAGATTAGTTCTTTCAGCCAATCATCTTTGCAAACTTACTAGAGAGTAACATTTTATTTAAAGCATACTTTGTCTATTGCATTATGCTGAAAGTTAACTCAAAAAAATCCTACATTTTTGAGGTTTAATTAGTTCTTTAAGAAGTCAGTGAGACAGGACCTAGTGCAAACACTTGATTAGGGAGTGTGATCAGTGAAAAAGTGCGTGTGGGGGAGGGGTAGCACACAAAGCTTCAGCTGGCGCAGCAGGCTGATCCCCACAGAAAACAGGAAGGAGGCCAAAGGTGGAGAACAAATCACCAACCAGCCTTTATCAAAACAGGCTGCAGAGCAAACTTAGACCTGACATAACAGGAAAGTTATTCTGTAAAGTTTTGGGGTTTTGTTGTTTCGTTTTGGGCACAACTCTTGGGAAACCCACACCTACTTCTTTAGTATGTACTGTCTTTTTCTAAGCATTCCTCCCTTTGTGCTTGTGTTCAAGTCTCTAGTAAAATGTGTGTGGACACTTGTATGCATCTATGTGAAGGTTGGAGCTGGACAGTGGGTGTCTTCCTCAAATGCTTTCCACTTTAGTTTTGAGGCAGGGTCTCTCATGCTGCCTCACACTTTAGGTGCACTTATGTGTCAGTGTTCCTTCCATGTGGGTGCTAGCTGGGAATCTGAACTCAGAGCCTCACACTTGCATAGCCAAGCACTTTACTGAGTCATTTACCCAGCCCAGCTGAGTTTCCCAAGAAACGCAACTTTGGGCTGCGCATGGTGCTGCACACCTTTAATCCCAGCATGGGCTGTGTGACGGGTTCTAGAACAGCCAGAGCTACATAGTGGAGATCCTGTCTCAAACAATCGCAACAACAAAGGTAACACAACTCTGTTATGCATACATACACACACAACACACACACGTTTAGAGTCTTACTATGTTTGTAGCTTAGCTGGCCTTGGATTTACGATCCTCTTGCCTCTGTCTTTTAAGTGCCAAGAGTTTTAGATTTGCAGGGCTGGAGATATAACTCAGTGGTAGAGCCTATATGTACATTCAAGGTCCTGGGTTCAGCCAATCCCCAGAAGCACAAAAGCAAAACACACACACACTCTGCCACCTATAAAAACCAACATACACATCAGCTGAAAAGCAAGCAAAGGTGTGTCAAACCCTCTAATCTGAGAAGTCTGGTACACAGAAAACAACCCCTTTCCCTCGCCTTCCCAGATAACTATCTTGGCTTCCTCCATTCTCTCACCTCCTACTCACTCTTCAGCCCACAGCGACTTCTACCCGACAAACTCAGGACTTCACTGTACTTTCCCCGGCCTGTACTGTACTTGACACAGTCTTGAGCTGGACCGAGGGGAACGCTGCACTCCACCACACAGTTTCGGTTCTCCTTCCTCCAGGATCGCCTCTCCTGGATCTTCTTCTCCACTTGATTCCGCTCCACTGACACATCCAGGTTTCTCATGTCCCAGCATCTACGACAGGGCCTCACAATGCATCCCAGGCTGGTCCAGAATCTTCCAACCCCCGTCCTCCCCAGCTGGGACCACAGGCGCACACACCACCACACCTGGCCCCATGTATGCATTTTTATAGTCTCCAAGGCAATCTCTGCCACTTGGCCAAGTCACAAGTCCCTCCATGGTTTAAAGCTCTTTCCACCAGGCTTTCCTTGTATGATCTCATCAACTCAGTGTCTGGCTCCAAGCATACACCTCCAGGCTTTACCTTGAACTTCAGATTCATATCCAGCTGCCTGGGAAACACGCCCATTTGGACATCCCACAGACACCGCAAAATCAACACACTGAAAACTGAATCCATTGTCCCCTCTCTCAACATTCCTAGCCGTCCAATTTCTCGGTCTGCCCACTCACCCCGACAGGAGGCTAGGATCACCCTCCACAACTCTCTCCCTGCCAGCCAGTGAACAGTCCCTGATGTGCTCAGCCACCTCTGTTCTGTCAGTGCAGAGAGCCCCATTTTCAATACATTCATTTCCAGACAGCTTCTCAAATTCCTGATCCTGCCTCTCCAGTACTGGTACCACAAGCATGTTCTACTACACTTGGTTTAAAAAAAAAATTTTTTTTTTTTTTTTTTTTTTTGATTTGTGTGCCCACACATGCAAATGGATATCGGAGGACAAGGCTTGAGAAATGGTTCCCTCCCACCACATGGGCGATCAATACGGGCTGTCTGTCAGACTTGGCAGAACAGGCCTTTAAGCAGTGACAGACTCCGTCAGCCTCACGCACACCTATTTTATGCGTGCGCACGTATTTATATTTCCCCCTCAGGAGAAAAGGAATTACAAATGAAAGAAGTTTAAAAAGCCCTGTACTAAATGAAACTGTCTGCCTTCCTCATGATGCCACTGAAGACCAGACATGAAATAACTCCCTAAGTTAGCCACAGCAGATGACATTTCTACGTACACACTCTGTCATTCACTTCTAGTTATTTTAACTCACTTAAAACCTTTCAGGGTTACGCACAGAGTTGAGCGGTGGGTTTCTGAGCGGTGAATGTCCTCTGCATTCAGATCATAGGTAAGTGGGATTAATATAAATCCGAACTAGAGTGGAGAAGCTACATGGATAGCATGACCGTAACAGGAGCGACTGAAAAGTAGAAGCCAAAGTCGGGATCGACCATGCAGTGGAACAGGTCAGACTGGGTTTAAAGTGACAGCATCTTCTATTAGCCATGATTTAACAGAGAAAACTCTCTATGTTCAATTATTAATGAAAGTACTTTATAAAGGGGTGTGGACTAACCCAACTCTCTACCTGCAGATTACAGACACAGATGAAAATATCCACAATAAAACAGCCCAGAATGTAAATTACCTTCAATAAAAACAAGAGGCATGTCCTCTTCAAACACTGCACCATTTCTCTACCTTCCCGAGATGGGGTGTTTGTACTGCCGCCATGTCACATGGTGGGCAGGGCTGTGGGCAGCTGGCTTTACAGGTGATGTAGATATCTGATGTCCAAGGCAAAGCATGGGAACGTAGCATTCGCCAGCAGAAATCTGAGAGTTTCACCCTGCCTGGCTGGCTTCCCCAGGCCTGGAAAGATGCTCAGAGCACGTGCTGCAGCAGCCTGCAACATCCCTTTGATGCTTCCCCCAAGTGTTCGCTATCACCATGCGGCCAATGAACACTGCTCTCCCGGCATCGGGCATTGCTCATCTCTGAAGTTTATAAAAAACAATGCCTGAGTCTTTGAAGACATTCCCTAACAGAAAGGGAATGTTGGGAGTGGAGGCCAAGAATTTGGTTTTGAAAAATGCAACAGATGGGAGCTGCAGAGTTGCTTCATTGGCTAGGAGCACTTGTTGTTCTTGCAGATGACCTGGATTCAATTCCAGGCACTCACATGGAGGCTCACAACTGTCTGAACTCTGGTCCCAGGGGATCCAACACCCTCTTCTGATCTCTACAGGCACCATACATGCAAACAAAACACTCATAAACATGGAATAATTAAAAAAATGTTAAATGCACTAGGTGAGTCCAATGTCCAGCTAAGGCTGAAACACTTAGCCCACACTGGCTATTCACATGTCCACTTTCCCCTGGCCTTTCAAAGCTGGTCATTATGGGCAAATGAGGATACAAGAGGCCTGGATACAATTCCAGTTCTGATTCGATCAGCTGTTTGACCTCTGGCTATTTCAGCTATCTTATTTTCTTCATCCATGTAGGAGGTGGCTCATGGGCTCGGAAGACAGCTCTGTTGCTGCTTAACCTTAGAGCATGAGGACCTGAGTTCGAGCCCAGAACCCACATCTGGTGACGCATGCAGGCCAGCGGGAGACTATGTCTCAAACACCATGGGTTGTCCTTTGGCCGCCATATGCGTGTGCACACATACACACACTGAGAGGCAGCTCACAGCCAATAACTGACAGTGAGCAAATTATATGCAGTCTGCAAGAAGTCTTGTTTAGTACCTACCCCAAGATGGCCTTTAGAATATGTCTTCAAAAGTAGCTTGCCAGGTTTTTATTGTGACATTGTACTTCCAAACCTGATTTTCAGATACCTTAAACAACTGCAGAAGGAATCATTAGGTCAGACCCCCAGATTCTTGGGGTAATGAGTACTCAATGACCCCTCCCCATGTTTAGGCTACCTGCATGATTCCTGATGGCACTGAAATTCAGACTCTGAGGCGACCTTCAACAGCTGTCACTGTAAGTCACCCAAAGTGAAGAGCAGACCCAGGTGAGCCACAGTGGATTATGAAATGATGGCGGATGACTGTCACAACAGACATTGCTTGCTTGGTTATGAGTCAATCTGCAGATGCTAGCAAGAGACGGCAGGGAACTGAGGCCTCCTACTAAAGGCCAGCAGCGACTGGCCAGCCATGGGAACCATGGTGACAGTCCTTTAGATGGGGACACGCATACATGACCAAACTACTTGGGGATTCCTGGAATTTAGTAGCCAGGTGTGGTGGCACACGCCTCTGATCCCAGCACCCTGGAGGGAGAGGCAGGTAGATCTCCTCAAGTTCCAGGACAGCTGGGGCCATAAAGACCTTGTCTCCAAACCAAACCAAACCACCACCACCAACAAAAACCCCAGGTACTGCCTTACAAAGCTCAACAAACTTGAGAGCAATGGAAAAGCAGCAATGCCATTTTCTGTGAATTCTTTACTAGTGAGATAAGGAAATGTCTTTGTTTCGGGATTAGAGCCACAGAATTCTAGAGTTCAAAAGGACCAGCCACATGACTGGTAAGACAGTGAGAGAATTTTCACCCCAGTTCGTAGTTCTCTCCCACACAAGTCTTCACTCCACTGTCGTCACTATCCTATTTCCTATTCCTCTACTGCTCTGCAGATTTTTCTCGCTTTCTAATTGCAGCTTTCTTCAAAGTTCTGTGCTTGGATGTGCTTACATGCTGCACGTGAAAGGCTCCCCTCCAACCGGTGCGGCTGCACATCTGTAATCCCAGCACTCCCCAGGCAAAGCCAAGAGGATCGCCAAGTTCAAGGCCAGCCTGGGCTGCTTTGTCTCAAAAACTGAGCCAAACAACACACACCATAAAATCTAAAAATAAAAAAAATTACCACTGACTGTGAGTCAATTAAGGAGAAAAGGGTGAAACTGGTTCTGTGGGCGAAGGAGTCATAAAGAATTTGAATTTTAGGGGCTCAGTCAAGAGTGCACATTGCTCTTGCAAAGAACCAAGAAGGTCTCAGCACCCACTGTGGAGAAGATGGGGAACCACACCAGCCGTAACTGCAGTTCCAGGGGACCCGTGGCTTCCGGGGTACCTATCTGCGTTCACGTACACGTTCCGCCCCACACACATAATTAAAAATATATCTTTACAAAGAGTTCTAGTTTGAGCCCAGCTACACTAGAATGGTCGCTGGGATGCCAAGGACAGATGCTCAAGGTGGGGTCTGTGCAGTGAAGGAGTCTTGATTTTTTAGTACATTCACAGGAGGAGGTGCTGAAGGTAGAGACCAGCTCCAGGGCTACAACTAAGGTCTTTTTAATTTAATTTCACCTTTTCCAGTGTCTGTCAGAGTCTAGAAAGTTCATGGATTCTCACATAATTACTGTAGACAAGATTAGTTATTGTTGAATGACTGAATACAAGAACAGTTTGAAAGCAGCAACCAGAAAGGGAACTAAGTATATAATCAAACTAAAATGCTTCACAAAATTAATCTCATATACTTGATGACTCATAATGCTTATCATATAAACACAGGCTTTTTTTTTTTTTTTAAGTTCCATAATTACCTTTCTCTTAAAAAGGCAAACACCATTTTTACAGCTTTTCTTAACATCAGGAAACTTGCGGCAACTGTGTTTTCTCACACTTGGCACACATGCTCTTTTCTCCCTCACAGGTGTTGTGGGCGTCCTGTGAGTCAGCTCTCTGTCTCTGCTATCTAATCGCTGCTGTAACTGTGAACGCCCATGTTATAACCAAGTAAGTCACAACTGTTAACATCGCTCCAGAAAGTCCCGGAAGTCGACTGTGTACCTTACTCCTAGGCAAATCTTGTTTGGATTTCTTTTCCTTCTCTATTCTTTTTTGAGACTAAAAGCCTTACTACTCGGACCAAAGTGTATTCACACTCAGGACTCTTCTGCCTCAGCTTCCAGAGAGCTAGGATTAGAGGTGTTCATGACCTTGACTGGCTCTTGTCTGGGTTTCTTTAAATTAAATGACAAATGTGTACTTGTGCAGGCCTGACTTCTTTAAATGTACTATTTCTGAGGCTCACGCCCTGTGCTGAGCTTATGACTATCCTCCTCCTGTTTTAAAAATGTTTCACAGTGTGTGGGGATCAAACCCAGGGCCTCAAACACATTAGCTGAGTGCTGTACACTTTATTCTTTTCTACTAATGGGCAGAATTACATTGCCATACAATT